GCTTTAATTAAATCCCAATCGGAATCCACTCCGGATTAATTATTCATTCGGACGACTCGCTAGCCGGGATCCCGACTAATTGAATTACTCGGAAGGGCCTTCGTCGGCTGTTTATTTTTGGCTGGTTGTTACCACCCTTCCAAATGTTATTCAATTCGCATCGAAAACATCAGTTTATTACACAATTGTTGACCTAATTAACGTATTTATTTTCATTTAATGCAAACAATTCCAATAATATTATTAGCAATTACATCTGTATCAATTATAGAATTTCTCATGTTGTCCTTTAGGATATAATTTGATTTATGTATTATGTAAAGTTGATGTTCAGAATTATTATCAATCCAAGTGTTGCTTAACTTTCCAAAAGAACATCAAAACTAATATAATCGGCATGTGTGAAAAGTTTTATTTAATGTTGGAACAAGCAATTTTTATTTATTTTCACATTATTTAATACAAGAAACACGTTAATTGACTTGAATTTCATAGGACAAAACATCAAGTTTAATTAGTAGTAATGAAATCTGTAAGTATTAAGAATTTTGTCTTTTATTTAATGATCAACTTTGTAAAAATGATATTTTAATTTGATATTCTTGCGAATCTTCTCAGTTTCAACATTATATTCAATAAAAAAAATACGGTAATAATATTTACTAAATATTGCTAATACAGGTATCTCACGACTTAAGAACTAGTTCCGTTCGTAAGTCGGGGGTAAAATATACTCATCTTACCATAAATTTGAAAAAATAGTTTAAAATAAACAAAATACTGACTTAAAAATACTTTTCAATGGAGACATCACAATTATTTATTAAAAAAAAACGACAAAAGAAACAAATGCAACAAAACAATCTTGTACTTCTTTCAAAACAATTATACTTTTTTATCGCTATATCTCCTTATAACAAGTTAGGGTTTTTAGAATTTTGTTTGTAAGTCCGGGAGTTCGTAAGTCGGGAGATACTTGTATTGATATCATAAATTCACTGTTATTCTTTGTTAAAACATCGAAATATAAAATTTCTGATTTATTCCCAATTAAATCTATGATCTAATTTATTGAGATTAATTAAGTAATAATTTCTCTAATGTTGTCAACTTAAATTAACTGTTGTCGTTAATTGCAATTTTGAAATATTACATTTTAATTTAATTCCAATCTAATTTACTCATACTTTTTTTATTCAATTCCTTAGAAAGTGTAAAATACAGTTGAAATGCAATTAAGAGAAACTGTTTAATAATAATTAGAAACGTTTTATTGACTTTTTAATGCAGTTTAACAGTTTCAAGTAAACTCATTAAAAACTGATGTGAAAAAAAATTTGAATGAATAAAATTAGTAAATTATTGTAATAATTGCTATTATTTATGGACTAAAGCAATATTTATTAATAATTATCGCTTAATTAATATAAAATATGTAAAGATATTTTGGATGATTACATTGAATGGACTACATTGTGTTATTAATGAACGCCACAATTGACGCAATCTACAGTGAATTGTCTCGTAAATTATTAATGTAAAACATGTGAGGAGTCAACGTTTAGACATAATTGTAAACTCATGTAATAACTCTTAATTAGTATAAAGTTTATAGACATGTTTTGTTTTTGTAATTAATTCTAACAATTAATTGATTTATTCCTTTTTTTGTTTTTGTTTTTATCAAAAATCAAGTAAAAGGAAATAACTAAGTAAAATAAATACGTTATAATAATAACACTGATTTGGCTTAATGAAATAATTCGATTTCCGTTTCCTGTGCGACGGCGGCGTTAGTCATGTTCCCTCCGTTTCTGTGTTTGTTGTTGCTCGTTGATTGCGTTACGACTTTCTTTTCCACGCCAAAGGATACGAGGATATTTGGCTCGGAGCTTAGAAGAAAGAAGAAAAAAACAAAAATTGTAGAAAATGAAGGAATGTATGAGCAAATAACATAAATGCTCCAGCAACGTCGTTATTTATTTGTATTATTACTTGGACGATGATCGGACGTCGCGTAAACAACAATTAATTCTGTTTATTGTTTACGGAATTCGTTGGAGCTCGGATTTAATAATATTTACAACCAAGTGGAAATCATTTATAATTTTAGAATTTTCGATGTTTTCATTGCATTTGCCGGTTCACTTAACTCTCCGCAACCGAAATAGAATATCGAGATACAAATTTGGAGAAACGTAACAACAAAATTGTATGAGTAATACGGATCTTTATCACAATTTTTGTAATGTTTTTGAGTAATTACATTAATCTTTATCAACTTTTACAGGTGTAAAATAATAAATATTTACTTAATTTCAGATCATGCACAATACTCGAAACATGAAGTAGTATTATGATTTTTTTTTGATGTTATCGTTTATTTATTAGATAAATTGAAATCAATTACATTTATCGTAATTATTACAGATAACAATCTTGAGAATTTATTAATAACATAAAGAATACAATGTAATTAAATATTGTCAATAAAGCAAACAAAATAAGTTGACATTACATTCTTTAAATCAGTGATTCTCAAACTTTTTGGTCCGCGTTGCATTAAAAAAAATATTTTGTTTGTAATAGAATAAACTAAGTAAATATTCCTATTTGTCTACTAAATGCCTTCTAAAATAATTTTTCCAAGAAATTATACATTATAATTACATAATGTGTAATAGATAGTGTGTAAAATATACCCTGCGCGCGTCTTCATGTAATAAGAATGCGCGCGCGTCCACAAGGGTTAAATAACGTGATCAGTTTTTAAAGCTGTAACATTTCATAACTTTCAGACAATAAATTATGTTTTAGAATTCTCAAATCATCTAATCTTTATTTTATAGTTGGGATTATTTTGGGATTTTATTGTAGAAAATACATATAACTATTATCAATTACTTGGTTAAGCTGAAATGACATCAAAACCATTTCGAAATTTAATGAATACTTAATACCTATATACGTTTATGCATTTGTACTAAGTTATGTATTGCTTGTTCTCGAGGGAAATAAAAAAAAAACGTAATGGAATACAAACAGTATAAATATTGTATTACTGAAATATAAATATACCTGTCGTACAACCTTGACAGGAATAACAAAAAAAAACAAACAACAACATTTATTTCTTTATTATTTTACTGATGATTGTGGACAAGATTAATATGGTTTCTTGTATGAAACAAACAAAAAAGCCGTCCGACCTACTTAACGTTTTATAAGGACAGTAATGAGACGGACATAACAGCACGTACAATTTTCGTGTCATGCCAATTGCATGCAATCTTGACAACGCAAAGAAAAGTCTTTTTCTCTAAGACTTTTTATTTATCCAATTATTTGTCACTTTTCAAACAGACTGCAAAAGTAGTTTGTCTAAACCAGTATTAACTTAATTTCATGTATCTATTATTAATAGTGTACATTTTTTATTATTCATTCTTGCTGCGTTAGTGAATCAAATAATGAATTTGTTAATTAAATTCATCATTTTTTTTTGTAATAAAGTAACAATCATTAAGATTGTAATTATTATATAAAACATAATTAATGTCTTCAAAAATATCTAATTTTCGATTGACAGTACATGTTTTTTTGATAGGATATTCAAGACTTTCAAGAATTCAAATGAAATCAAATGGATGAGTATTTTTTACTATATATTGAAATCTAACTGTAGTTATTGCTAATTTGATGTTGTTGTTAAATTACCATCACATCAATCACAATTGTAGTGAAGTATCAAAAAATAAACGTCAAGTAAATTGTATTGCAACAGTTGTTTTTTATTGGAAAAAAAGGATGTAGGAGAGACTAGAATTGAAGAAAAGAAAAGTACGAATACGGTGTAAACTGATTATCGTATTAAAAAGGCGTTATCCTTGATTAGGTTTATTGTAGTATACATCTCCGTGTTCAATTTCGTTTCTTCTTCATCTTTTTCTTTCCTTCATCTCATTCCTTTCTTCATCTTCTTTTTGTTGTTGCGTGATGTGTGCTGTGCACGTATGGAAAGAGATTCTAAATTGAAATTAATTGCTTTGCGCCTCGAGGACTTCCTCGAACCACGAGAGCGTCGCGTTCCATCTCTTCTTGTCCATTGTGTTCGTCCGTCTATCGGGCTTCCTGCGGAGACTCTTCGTTGTATCCGTTATATTTAGTATTCATCTCTGGCCTTCCACTTTCGGAGCTCCTCATTATTAAGCGAGGACGACCATAACTGCTCAACATTTTGTTTTTTATGTTTATTGTATGTTTTTTTTTCTTTTGGTATTCGCAATAACGATAAATTAACGGTGTACCGTTTTCTTTTCGTTATAAAAGATTGTGAGAGTGGATTGGTGGATGTAGGTAACATTCCTCGAGATCTCAGACGACCATCGCTCCGGGTTGGTAGTTTCGGGGCGTGAAGTGATTAGCATATAATCGTCGAGGATTGCAAGGGAAACGCGATGACTCAGTTTTCAGCTTGTAAGATGATCTTTTCGTGCAGACGAGGCAGATTCAAGTCTCCACCTCTCGCTCCGCGTATGCGTTAAAGCGAGACGGAGGCTTTTCTCTCTCTCTTGTTCTTTCATCGTAAAATGTTATCCCATCAAGTAAGCAGCGCACCAAGAACTTGAAACCAGTTCTCGCCAATAATGGTGTTTTAAATCCTGATATGGCCGTGGCATGGTTGCGGGCTACACAGTTTCTTGTAGGACTTTCTTAGAAACCTGCTATACTCGTTATATACGCTCCGCATGTGTGTGTGCACGAGTATACATGTATATACGTATATAGTTTTACTCCGTTTTCTTTTCTTGTTCTGCTGCTGTCGATCGTTTTTTTCCCTTCTCTGTCTCTCCTACCATATGATTCTCGTGCATGCACGCAACTGGTTAATGATGTTGTTTATTTGGGCGCGTTCTGATTTATGTAGGAAACTGTGCTGTAATTGCTTCATTTCTGCATGATGATTATTAAACCATTTTTTGTTTTTTTTTTCGTTGCAGGAATGGGATACGACGATACCTGGTGTCCGGGAATATCCGGAGCTGAGGATGACTGTTCGCAGGTGGGGAGAGCAGCAGGATGGCCAAAGGATTCTTCTCACCACCCCGAGTGTCCTCGTCGGATACAGGGTTGAAGTCTACAGGGCTGAGGGCACCACGCAATGGTACACTGCTGTCATCGTTGGATACAATGAAGCTTCAAGGGTAAGACTTTTATTTCATGTTTGCAGTATCTACAATACAGGATCTTTTAGAAAATACTTCAATTTAGATATACTATTATTTACAAAAAAAAGGAGGTGTTGTATACCTCAACGTAAACAATTTATTATTGGAAAGAGAAATCATATTTTTTGTATGAAATTAGCTCAATTCATTTAAAATTTTTCTTAAATATACTTTTTTTCTTTAATTTTATCCAAAAAATGGGAGGTGTTGTACCTCAACGTAAACAATTTATTATTGGAAACAGAAATCATATTTTTGGTATCAAATTTAATGGTATTTTAAAAAATTTATGAAATTTGCTCAATTTATTTAAAAAAAAATTAAGTATACTGTTTTCTTCAATTTTATCCAAAAAATGGGAGGTGTTGTATCTCGACGTAAGCAATTTATTAAGTTATTTACATCAGCGTACACAATTTATATGAGTGCATAATACGTTTTCATCTAGTAAATATATATTAATAACAGTGTCAATAAATATGTTAAATAAATGAAAAATTCATTACATACTATTTTTGATTTGCTTTGCAAAAGTAATGTTATATCAAGAATTATTTAAGGAAAAGTCATTGAAATTGAAATGATTTTTGTATTAAAATATTTAGTTTGTGGAAGAGTTGTATCAATATTTGTAAAAGTATATTGAAACAAAAAAAAATGTCAACAAAGAATGAAGAAAGGATAAATAGAAGCGTAGTAAATGTTTGTTATATAAATATAATAGCTATGGACGTAAATAGAGTGGCGATGAAAAAGAGAAGCCATGAATGAAACTTCAATAAATCTAGTCGGAAATTAAAGATAGCGCCGTGATTCATGCTGTAGCGTAGGTGAATACGTGCTAAATAGTAAATTGCTTTTCCAATATCAAATGGCTGCCAAAAATAAGCGGTCGTAAAACGGCATCGGCGCGTTGTTATGGTTCCGTTGGCAATTATTTAACACTCATATATTGCCAACTTGTTTTCATCGCATTCTTCGGTCTGTTTATTATTGACGTTGCATTAAGAAACCGGCCGAATTCCGAGAACCCAGGAACGCATCATCACCATCACCACAAGATACCTGTTTTTTTTTGTTGATGGATTTTGCTTCTCCGTATTCGTCTCAATATTCATGGTATATTTATACATGGAATGAATCTATCGCTGCAAGCCAATAACCAATATAAGCTGTTGCAATAACTCAGACCGAACATGGCTGTGCTTGTAACTTTTCTTCTCTTCTCTCAACTCGTTTCTTTCTAAACGTTGGGTTTAGAAATACGTCTTTTGATTTATAGACGAGTTTCGTAAAGTCCGGTATTTCCTGTCCTAAAACGCTACTAAAACACGATCCCATTTTATTGGTTCCAACCGCAATGGATTAAGAATGTCAGTCGCATTTCCGGTTTGCTGCACGAACCATCAACACTCTATCTATATATATATTATTTTCTTCTTCTCTCTATCTCTCTGGTTTCAATTCACAACTGAAGTCTGTGATTTTGATGTGGCTCTTTTAGAAAGATTGGAGAAGCTTCGATCAGGTTGTGGATGGAAAGAGATGCAGCGTATCCCGATGAGTGTGTGAGCGAGCTTTGTTTACAATTCATTCCCATGTTCAACGGACCACGACTAATCGTCACAGGACTCGGTTTTCCTCTGTGTGCTAGAAAGGGACGAAGCTTTGTTTACTGAGCATTCCACGAGGGCGCCGTAAATTGTCGTCCAGACATAAATGGGCCGGACGCAGTAAAAAGAGAGAATGGTACAACACTACACACTCGTATACTTGTTTGTGTGTTTTTTTTTATTATTTTGCTGCTTCCAATTACAAAACATTCGTTTCATACGTCATTAAACCTTGCAGTCGTGTGTTATGTCTTTTATACCGAAGGCATATTGTTCTTCAACTTTAATGGCGAGAAATGATCTTGCCGCGTTTGCTACTAAAATCGGAAACGATCGATTCCCCTTTGATTTAAAACTGCTACTGCTAAAGGCGTACTCGTTATTCGAAGCGAAGAATGCAACAATATAACATTAACCTAATTAGGAACTCGGACCTGACATCTCCAAATATAGGCATCGGGATATGGGAGTCTAGGGACTACGGCAGCAAATCTCCAACAAACCTGACACAGTAAAAACAGTTTTTTTTATATATACAATAAAAGTTAACGAATCGTTAAGAAAACTGGTATTCTAGACGGTGGATTAATTAGTTTATAGAAGTCCTTAATATACTTCTCTTAAGCTTCAAGTATTTTAGCATTTATTCCAAAAAAAGAAGTAACATTGTTGAAAAATTATGTATGACCTTGAACAGTAAAATGTGCTTCCATAAAAGTCATCCTACATCGTATAGTGTTCGCACTATCAGATTTTTTTATACTTTTTTTTCTTTATAAACCACGCACAATTTTTATTGTAGCAAAACAAAATAATGCGACGGGAAATTCCAAGCCTATGTCTATGCAAATGATACATTTATATGATATCCACTCACCGAACGTCGTTTGCGGTCTAGATTCCAGAACAATCTCGATTCTTCACAACTCATATTTCATTATGCTGCGGTTTACTCTCCTTACGTCATGCCATAACTATACCAAAAAAAATTGAGTTAAAAACAACGTAATTCTGAATTAATTCTTCATGTAAACACGTAAGGTCAATGGGCTGTTTTGATCAAAATGTTTTCATACAGATTCGTTAGCCGCTTGACCTAATAAATAAATTGATACGGTTCGAATTACTTGTTGATTTCCCGGGATACAAAGAAAAAAGAGCCAGTCAAAGTTAACGACTTGTCGAGCGAAGATCAAAACCCTGCAATCATCTCGAGAAAGAATTACATCCTCTGCGCGTCTACGACTACATTTTTCTTCTCTCCCTCTAGCATATGTACAAAACAGCGTAATTAGCGTTACAGAAATAGACACTCTCTAATATTAATCACGTCTACGCCATATTCATACGCGTACAACATTTTTTTTATGTTTGTTGTTGTTTGTTGCCTTCAAATTGAAGCTGTATTTATAGCGGAGTCCACGTGGAGAGAAAAGATATTTCTGAAAATAGATAATTGATTGCGTAATGGGCGCGGGTGGTGGCGGAATCCACCTTCACCCAAGGCCACGTCATCACTGAGAGTGGAAAGAAAAAAAAAAGGCGAAGAGCGCGTTATAATCATCGATCCGCTGTGCGAACTAAGGGAATACGTAATGAAGAAGGCCGTCTCCGGAAAATGTTTACCAAACAACAAAAACAACAAAAACTTTTGTTATTTGTTTGCTCGTGTTTTTCCTCTCTCTCTTTCTCTCGTTTCGTCTCGACCCGGATTGGAAAGTGAACGAGACACGAGCCGGAAAAGTTTTGCACAAATAAAAGTGAGAAGTTTTATTTTTGCTGACTAGGGGGTGAAAAACAGAAATAATGGTTTTCCTCGCGGGCGGATTTCAAATTGAAATTTTTCTCAGCAGGGAAATGTCAATTACCGTAACCGTTTGTATACTCGCACAATGCACACGGTGGTAATCTAATCGCATCTATGAATTTCACGCTTTGTAAGTGTGTTTATTAATGCACGGACCTTGAACTGAACTTGCACAAAACAGAACAAAAAAAAACACGTTTCGCGTGTTTAGAATGGTGAGGTGAATGCAACAGACGAAAATGTGTAATTGGCTTGAACGAGCAGCAAGAATTCCGAGATCGTTGCTGCTTTTTTTGTGTTTATGTATGTTTTAATTGCAGGTGTGTGTATTGCATTGCCGTGCATGAGACGAGATGCTGATTACGTGAAATTACAAAATTCTTCGCTCGTTAGGCGTTTTCTAGAATTTCGTTCCAGTAACACTGATGTTCCATATACTCTATTATTTACAACTATCGTAGAAGAAAACATTCAATTATACTTTCCACTTATTATATTAAGATACAATTCACAGAAAGAGATGATTTAGCTTCGTTATAATCTATGAACATTCTTCAAGAGTTAAACTTATTTTGCGACTTTCTCACTCAATATTATGCTATGAGAAGATCAGCTGCATCATCTTCAAATATAGTAACTATTCTCTGGATTGACGTTGGTAGATCTGAAGTGTAGATAAGATAAATGATAGGTCCAAGTACCCGTCCTTGGGGTACAGATATAATCGCTAAGAACACATATTGGTACTTAATCTTAAAATGTACAACTATTATTTACAACAATCTTAGAAGAAAACATTCAATTATACTTTCCACTTATTATATTAAGATACAATTCACAGAAAGAGACGATGTAGCTTCGTTATGATCTATGAACATTCTTCAAGGGTTAAACTTGTTTTGCAACTTTCTCACTCAATATTATGCTATGACAAGATGAGCTGCGTCATCTTCAAATATAGAAATTATTCTCTGGATTGACGTTGGTAGATCTGAAGTGTAGATAAGATAAATTATAGGTCCAAGTATCCGTCCTTGGGGTACAGATATGATCGCTAAGAACACATCTTAAAATTTACAACTATTATTTACAACTATCTTAGAAGAAAACATTCAATTATACTTTCCACTTATTAAGATACAGTTCACAGAAAGAGATGATGTAGCTTCGTTATGATCTATGAACATTCTTCAAGGGTTAAACTTGTTTTGCAACTTTCTCACTCAATATTATGCTATGACAAGATGAGCTGCGTCATCTTCAAATATAGCAACTATTCTCTGGATTGACGTTGGTAGATCTGAAGTGTAGATAAGATAAATGATAGGTCCAAGTACCCGTCCTTGGGGTACAGATATAATCGCTAAGAACACATATTGGTACTTAATCTTAAAATTTACAACTATTATTTACAACTATCTTAGAAGAAAACATTCAATTATACTTTCCACTTATTATATTAAGATACAATTCACAGAAAGAGATGATGTAGCTTCGTTATGATCTATGAACATTCTTCAAGGGTTAAACTTGTTTTGCAACTTTCTCACTCAATA